AGACCGATGATCACTGGGGGCAAGAAGGGATTTTCCCCCCCGATCAGATTGGCACAGACCTGGAGGAGTTTTTCCTTCCTCTGTAGCAGGGGATGCAATCTCTACCCGGGTTCCCTTGATCCCATCATGATAACATTTCCTAGAAGCATGGTCCTCTGCTTTACCTGTGGCAGGTGAGTGTGTCAGGGTCAATGACAGTCTTATGCAAAATTTAGTGTGGGCTGGTTTGGACAGGGCTGATCATGCCTTAGGCAGGTGTCAGACTAGATGTGACCCCTGCAAGTCCCTTCCAGCCTGACTTCTTCATGATTCAGTGACTCCAGACCCCCTCATTAGACTCCAGACCCCCTTGGAAGATGCCAGCTCTTAATGTTCACTGTTTTTTGACTACAGAAACATCCTAGAGCCACTCTCCTGTTGCTACAAACTCCAAGGACCACAACAGAGAAGAATGGCTTTGCCACTCTGGATCCCCGCTTGACATCCCTGGGTTGATCTCGTGGATCTCGTTCATGTCCCCCACAGTGCCAGTGTGGCGTGGCACCCCTGAAAGGATCTCAAGGCACCCCGCGGCACCCTGATGGAGAAGCACTGGTCTATAAGGTGCGATGCTGCTCTGCCTTTTGGCTGATGTGGGCCTGCCTGGGGCAGCGGGGGGAGAGCTGTGACCTCCCGCAGCCCTGAAGCTGTCATAGACTCTCAGACAAGGAGGCTGGAAGGGACCTCAGGAGGTCACATCTAGTGCAACCCCCTGCTCAAAGCAGGACCAGCCCCTACCACATCATCCCAGACAAGGCTTTGTCTACCTGGGTCTGAAAGATGGAGACGTCACCACCTCTCTGGGTAACCTGTTCCAGTGCTCCTCGTGAGAAAGTTTTTCCTAATATCCAACCTCAACTCCCCTTGCTGCAGCCTGAGCCCATTGCTCCTTGTTCTGTATCTGCCCCCACTGAAACCAGCCCAGCTCCATCCTCTTTGCAGCCCCCGGCAGGGAGGTGAAGGCTGCTATTCAATCCCCCTCGGTCTTCTCCAGACTCAATCAGCCCAGTTCCCCCAGCCTCTCCTCACCAGTCCTGTCCCCCAGCCCCACAACCATTTTCATTGCCCTCCACTGGACTCTCTCCAGTGTGTCCACATCCTTTCTGCACTGGGGGGGGCGCACAACTGGACACAGGACTCCAGATGTGGCCTCCCCGGTGCCGAATAGAGGGGAGAATCGCTGCCCTCGATCTGCTGGCACCGCTCCTGCCGATGCAGCCCAGGATGCTGGTTGCTCTGACGCCGGAAAGGCCGAGGCTCCCGCGTCGGCTAGGATCTGCGGAGGAGATGGAGGGGAAACAATGCAACAGGCCCAGCTTGTTGGATTCCCAATTAGCTTCTCTAAAGTGTGCCGGGGGTGGGTGTTGGATGGCTCTGGCAGGACCCTCCGCTCCCCCCCCACCGCCCCTGCCTTGCGCCGGCAGTTTCAATTAAGCTTGGTGGAATTCAATCTCTTCCCCTTAATAAACTTTCCCGTTGTCTTGCCAACTCCCCTCCGGACACGGAAACGCTATTACTCCCCACACAACAGGAAGGGCTATTTTTCTGCAAACTTTCTAACTGAAGAAGTCAAGGAAGAGGGACCCCCGGCAGGCACCGAGCTAATAGGCTCCAGCAAAATTAACTGCAAAGAAATGTGCAGGAGACTGCGGAGCCGCTGCAGTGAGCAGAGGGGCCGGCACACGCGTGTGCAAGGCAGGTCCTTGGTCGCCAGGCATGTGTGTCAGGAGGTGTGGACACCCCCCTGCTCACCCAGGCATGCATTGCACACCTGTATCTGCCCCATGCACACACCCTAACACGTGTGCCCATTCCCATCACCCTCGCCCTATATGCATGCAGTGGCTGCCTGTCCCCTCTGCACGTGTGTCCTCCCAGGAACACGTGTGTGTGTCCTGAGTGTGCAAGGCCAGGCATGTCCCCTCTTTCCCCTCACCCTGGCCTGGGCTCGGAGAGGCAGGCGTCTCCTTCTCCGCTCTCCTCTCCCTGACAGATGCCTCAGAGCCCGGGGCCGCAGTTAAGGTGACGAGATGCAGCAATTCTTTACGAACATTTCATTCCCGCTCGCTACACGACGTAAATTAGATGGTGTGTTACACTCGGGCAATAAGCGCGAGATGTCACCGCGGCGCCGGCCCATTGGATGGAGAGGCTAATCCTGCCGTGAATTTCATTACTGCTTTTATACAGTCGGAATGAGCCTGGTGACAGCGCGCCTGATTGTCTGGCGCTAGGGGTTTGCTGGAGCGCTGGAAGGATTTCTCCCCGATGCGAGTCCCAGCGAGTGACCCCGCTCGCCAGCCGCGGCTCTGATTGCTTTGCACCTTGTCAGGGGAGGGGCAGCTGCTTCTTTCCCCCTCCCCGGCTGGAGGGAAAGGGAGGTCCTGCCTGGGAGAGGGTTGGGGGGCAGCTGAGTGACTCTGGCGGGGGCCAGTGCCTGCCCCCCCTTGCATCGCTCAGGCTGGGGATGGGATGGGGCTGGGCTGCCCCAATGCTGCTGCTGGCACCAACCCCGCAGGGTCCCGGCTCGGGGGTCGTGCCCCTGCGCTCATGCTGCACCGGGGCAGGAAAGGATTTGGGATCCTGGCCGTTGCTCATCTTCCAGCAGGTCTACCGCCCTCCTGCAGAGCTCGATCCATGGGTTGCTTCCTCCATGCCACCCCTGCAGCATCGTGGCATGTGGCTCAGCCTTTATAGCTCGATGCAAGGGGGCATAATGCCCCTTGTGATGCCCCAGCCCCATGAGCAGATGCCGGGTGTCTGAGCTGCCTGTGCACTGAGGCAGCAATCCCGCCGCATGGTGCAATTCAGAGCCCTGCGTCCTGGCCTTTCCTTGCTTTAGGAGCCCGGTCTCCCTGGAGGGACCTGCGTCCAAGGCCAAGGACACAGGGAAAAAGCCAAGCGACAGGGGAAAGAATCTGGTTTGAGCAAACGTGGTGTCCCAGCGGGTCTGGGTTCAGCTTCCACCAAAGCCCGGGGGCTGGGACCTCCGGCCCTTGTGGGAGACCAGCCGGGTTTTGGGGCTAAGACCCCAGCTGTGCTCAGTCGGAGTCCGTGCAGTTTGCTGGGTCAGATTGCAGCGAGATGGAGAAGTCCTGCAACACGTGCATGCATGTGTGTGCATGCACCCTTCTGTCCGTGGGTGGATCTCGGATTTGGAAAAAGGGGATTCAAGCATTTTTCTCCAGTTAAAGAGAAACTCGATGCTCTACTTGTGTGCTAGGGGCCTGGCACTCTGTTCTTTAAGATCGAAGTAAAAACAAATATACCTATTGGAATAGGCACTGATTCCCTAGACGATATACAAAGTCTGAAAAAATGCAACACATTAGGCCCAGAATAGTTGAAACAGGCAAAGAATCTTGTGTCATTCATCCTGCAAATGCACGTCTCTAACTCAGATTTCTAAGACAAAAATCTAGCCTTCTTCAGCCTCTTCAAAGCACCTCTGAGACTTCACTGTCAGTCATTTCCCCACCTGAGCCAGTGTTCACCTGAGTTAAGAGGACCACCCCTAAGTTGAGGTTTTTATCTCGAGCTAAAAACAGTCTTCAGGGCTGGGAAATGGAAGAGAGACACCCCCAGGAGAGGCTAAAGGCCAGCAGAATTGCAGAAGAAAGGATAGTTTGAACAGTGCAACATCAACACCATTGCAAAGGAGAAAGGGTCATTCCCAGGATTCAGGGAGATGATCATGAGCCATGAAGTCAATGGCCTCCCTCAGCACTGCCTGAATAGAAATGCCGCTGCTTCTCCCAGACAGTTGGGTTTAAACTCTGGAGGGAGCCCGAATCAGTGGGGTACAACTGGATCTGCCCCTGCCTGGGTCCCAGTGTTTGCCAGCACTGAGCAAGGGGTCGCACACATCCCAGCGTGCCCAGCTCTGCCTGGTTCAGCCCTTTGCAACTCGCCGGCTTCCCTGAGACGCCGGTTCTGTTTCCAGGACCCTCTGCTGCCCGTCGGCCATCTGGGCGCAGCTCCTTCCCCTGGGTAAGCAGGGCCAGGCGCTGGCTGCTGTTTGCTAGTCTCAAGTCCCCCGGTGTGGACAGGGAGCAGAGACCATGCCAGGCAATGGCAGCAACCAGGGGGTGTCTGGCAGCTAGAAATACAGAGCCGGTGGGTCAAAAGCACTTCGTGAATAAGACAGAAAGAGCAATGCCTGGTGCCCCGTGCCCATGACAGCAGGCACATGCATGCTGCATGACATGCCGTGCACGGACATGCATGTGCAAGAACACAGCGCCTTTCACAGCGCCTGGCACACCCCCACCCATGCGCTGCTGTGCTGCCGTGGGTGTGAGGTTTTAAATGTCAGCGCAGGGCCTGCGGGGAGGATGAAGCTGCAGATGCTGAAGGTTAGAGATGACGTCCATGTGAGGCTGCCGGGCTGCTCCAAATGGCTTTAAAGGCAAAGCAGGCATGGGAAACGCGGCGCCCAGGAATCGGCTCCCGGTTTTCTGGGCAGCGCTGCACCAATACCGTGCCCCACGGCTGTCTGACGCTGCCCCGGCGACACGTCCACCCCGCTGCCTATTCCTGCAGCCCCGAGAGGTCCAACGGGGCAGGGCTGGTGCCTTCCGGTGCCCGAGAGGCCAGGATGTGGGGCAGGCGTGAAGGTCGACCATGGGAAGGAAATCACGTTCCCCACAGCTCCCTGTTTCCTAGCTCCATCTCTCACCTGCTCCCTTTATTATCCACAGCCGGAGAGAAAGACAGGCTGAGGGTGAAAAGCACTTAGTAAATCAGCCTCTGCCTTCCCAGGGAGGACCCCTCCCAAAGGATAAGTACCTACTGCTGCTGCATGCGGAGGGAATTGCTCCCTAGGCTGTGGTGCCCTCCTGCTCCCCACGAGATCCATGCACAAACCTCCCCCCACCATGTGCAAGTCTGTCTCCGGGTCACAGCCCAGGTCTCACATCCGTGCCTGGGGACCCCCGACCCAGAGCGGCGACCGGAGGCCCCTCAAGGCCGCAAGCCGCTGCATCGGAGACCGAGAGACGGAAAGGACACACTGCCTTAATGTGTATCTATTAGTCACCGAGTGCTTTCCCCTTAGGTCAGCACTTTGGGAAGCTCATGCAGTCCCTGGCAGTGATACTCCATTAGCTCCTCACTCTACATCTAATTAGGGAGAGGAGGAGTGTGTGTGTGCGTGTGCGGGGGGAGTTAACGGCCCCTTTTGGATGAGACACTTTGATCCACATTTTTTACAGCTCTTTTTGAAGAGAGAGGATGGGGCGAAGGGTGGAAATCCCCTCAGCTCCCATGGGCAGAGGGGATGCCCCATGGGGTCCTGAAGAACTGCTGGCTTCTACGC